CAACACTGTACGTGCGCGCCCACATGTGGTATTTTGTGGAAGAGCCACACTCAAGGGGCCAAAGAGCTGCATGTGGCTCACGAGCCGAAGTTTGCTGACCACGGCTCTAGAGACATCACTTCTCTTTTAAAAGAATGTATGAGGCACTCATAAATTGCTGGTAGAAATGCAAACATGTTCAGTCATTTTGGAGGGGAATTTGGCAATCTCTAACAAAACTTGACATTTATTAACTTTTTGATACGTCAATCCTACTTCTAGGAATTAATCTTAAATCATGCCTCCAATTCCACTCTTAGGGATATGCACATGAAATCCATTTAAATGGGTTTTAAATATGTTCCTGGGTGTGCCTCTAACTTCCATGAGGTAGTAGCCTCCGTTTCTTCCTCTGTGAAGTGGGGAAATTGGAGTATATAATAGCTTCTGCTTGAGAGTCAGTTATATTCCAGACACTATGGTTATTGTTCTATGTATATGATTTCCAACTCTTCTCTGCAAGGTATTTACCCTCCTCTTATAGGGAGTACTTTGAAGACTTGAGAGGTTTAGTGATTATGCAGTCCTCTAGCTAGTAAGTACCCAGGTCTATCTGACTGTAAATTCTTCAGTCTTCCTAACACATTAGTTGCTTCCAGAAGATGCAAAGATCTAAGGCCTTTTACAACTCTAGATTCTGTGATTCTTAACTCTTTTTTAAAAATTAAATGTATTGGGCCCTAACCAGTTTGGCTCACTGGATAGAGCATCGGCCTGCAGACTCAAGGGTCCCAGGTTCGATTCCGGTCAAGGGCATGTACCTCGGCTGCGGGCACATCCCCAGTAGGGGGTGTGCAGGAGGCAGCTGATCGATGTTTCTCCCTCATCGATGTTTCTAACTCTCTATCCCTCTCCCTTCCTCTCTGCAAAAAATCAATAAAATATATTTTTTAAAAAAGTTAAAAAAGTTAAATGTATTGGGTTAACATTGGTTAATAACATTATATACATTTAGGTGTACAATTTTATAATCTATCATCTGTATGTTCTGTTGTGTGCTCACCCCCCAGAGTCTAGTCTCCTTCTGTTACCATATATTTGACCCCTTGTGATTTTTTTTTTTTACTTTTAAGCAAGAAGAAAGTCCTCTTTCCGTGCCTAGCACAGCCATGGCTCGTGGTCCCAAGAAGCACCTGAAGCGTGTAGCAGCTCCAAAGCATTGGATGCTGGATAAACTGACCGGGGTATTTGCTCCTCGTCCATCTACCGGTCCCCACAAGCTGAGAGAATGTCTCCCTCTCATCATTTTCCTAAGAAACAGACTTAAGTATGCCCTAACAGGAGATGAAGTAAAGAAGATCTGCATGCAACGGTTCATTGATAAGACAGGAGAGAATTTCCGTCTGGTCTATGACACCAAGGGTCGCTTTGCTGTTCATCGTATAAGACCTGAGGAGGCCAAGTACAAGCTGTGCAAAGTGCGGAAGATCTTTGTGGGCACAAAGGGAATCCCTCATCTGGTGACCCATGATGCTCGTACCATCTGCTACCCTGATCCTCTCATCAAGGTGAACGACACCATTCAGATTGATTTGGAATCTGGCAAAATTACCGATTTCATCAAATTTGACACAGGTAACCTGTGTATGATCACCGGAGGTGCCAACCTGGGAAGAATTGGTGTGATCACCAACAGAGAGAAACACCCTGGTTCTTTTGACGTAGTTCATGTCAAAGATACCACTGGCAATAGCTTTGCCACCCGGCTGTCCAATATTTTTGTTATCGGCAAAGGCAACAAGCCATGGATTTCCCTTCCCCGTGGAAAGGGTATCCGCCTCACCATTGCTGAAGAGAGAGATAAGAGACTGGCGGCCAAACAGTTGGTGAAATGAGCTGACGTGACATGATTAGAAGAGTCTTTGTCCTTAATTAAAGATAATGCAGCATGGGGGGGGGATGGACACTCCCACTAAGATGCTAATAATTCCTAACCTAAATTTCACTCCCTTTTCCTGTGGGGCTTAACAGCTAAATGAGTATGACAGTTCTTTACCCTAAAGTCATTCTCACTTCAACCTCTTCCTTTTTTTAGATGCCCGAGTTAGTTCATTGTACTTTTCAGTTTGTAACCATTATGTAATTGTAATTAAAATGCAAATACAGATTTTAGTTAATGGTAATGTATTAATATTGGTTTATGAGATGTAACAAATACACCATACCACTGTAGGATGTTAGTAATTGGTGAAACTGATGCCAGGTACATGACAGCTCTGTACTATCTTAAGTTTTCTGTAAATGTAAAATTACTTTAAAAAATAAAGCCTATTAAAAAATGTATGTGTACAAGGATGTTCATGGATAAAAAGATGCTATTTAAACTGGTAATTTAATGTATTTATCACCTTTTATATTAAAACTAAAATGAGGGGTAAAGTGTGACAAATACCTCAATATATACACTACTTTTTAAAAATTCCAATAACATTAAAAGACTAAAATATTCTATATAAATTATGTTTTCATAATTTATATATTTTTTAACTACTGAGGGGCAAAGGAATATTTTTTGCCTTGTTTAAATAAAATATAACTGAATTAGGAAGCTCATTTCCCCCCACTTTATACTCAAAATTATTTTGTTCCTGGTAATCCACAAGCCTCCTGTCAAGCTGAAATATCTAACTTTTCATTTTTTTTATCTTAGCATTTGTAAGATATAAATAATAGATGAACGCAGAATTTCTGGGGATAGCTAAATAGCTTATGCTCAGTACTAACCTGTTTTTAAATGTCCGTAGACACCAACCCGAAATGTATATCAAAAAGTTGTCAGTTGCCCTAACCGGTTTGGCTCAGTGAATAGAGCGTCGGCCTGCAGACTGAAAGGTCCCAGGTTTAATTCCAGTCAAGGGCATGTACCTTGGTTGCAGGCACATCCCCGGTAGGAGGTGTGCAGGAGGCAGCTGATCGATGTTTCTCATCGATGTTTCTAACTCTATCCCTCTCCCTTCCTCTCTGTAAAAAATCAATAAAATATATTTAAAAAGAAAAGCATAGGAAAACATCAAGTCAAATTAGGGTTTCAGGCTTCTCTGCCTCTGATAACCACCGCTGCCTCTTCTCTCTGGGAACGTGAAGGAAATGGAATGGATAAAGACTCCCCTGTCCCCCCCCCCCCCCTTTTTCCCT